CCCCTCCCCCTAACTCAAAGGTACTCCGAATGGTGCCCGATTGCTGGTAGGCGCTTTGGGAGGAATCGCTACAATTCGAAAAACACATCATAGCCTTCGCAAGTATTGCTAGTTCTGAAAATCCCAGTTCCATAACTTGGTAGTGTAATCCTCTGGTGAAAATGAGTTCCGGCTATTTTCAGATATGTGAGCAGCCTGTTGGTGCTCAAGCCAATATATTCATCGCCTTCCTTGAACACACGAACAGACGCACATTGAAATAATTTCTCGAAACTCTCCACGACAGGAAAACCATTACTTCATGTGGATAAAAGATCACGAAGCAGACAAGGTACGATTTTGTCTTCAATTCGATTTTGTCCCTTCAGAAACCATCGAAATCCTCACAGTCAGATTTACTTTCAGTTCACTGTGATTTCTATCAAGACACTGGAAAATCATCTCAAATCTTCACAACGAGTACTTCGCGTAAAATGGCGTCAGATATTGACTGAGCGAATGCCCATCTATCGATACAACTTACCGGCGATCACATACGAAAAGTCCAAACGCATGTGTGAGTGCGTGATGCGACGCAAGAAGATGTGGATGATAGCCACATGGCTCACCTCTACTTCGCAACTTTGCGTGATTGTCGTCGTGGGCTCGTTGAGTCCCGAAGAACGAATACATCCATATCTTCACTACAATGCCTCAGCAACACAGAAGCAACAGACTCTGCACAATCTCCGAAATATGAACATTGGCTGCTCACACAACGCTATGGGGTCTTTTCTCTTTTGTACAGTGAACATTTGATGTTTGCCTAAGTCTGAATATGACAAAAGCTCAATCAAAACCAATAGATTTGTTGTAAAGATTGTTTTGCCGAGTATTAAATATTGCTGCGACTTCTGTGTATTCATCCATTCTAAGGGTGAATCTAGAATGCTCTGACCGTGCCTATATGTGCCTATTGGATGAAACAACGTATCCGATTGTATCCTGTAATTATCAAGGGTGTGTCGCCTATTGTCACGCGGATTGTGATGTGTGTATATCGACGGCCAAAGCACAGCAATTTATTCACCTCAAACTTGAGTAATTAAGGCGGTTACAAATACATGGGCACAATAACAGTTAACAACAGAACTACTAACAAATAAAAAAGGGGTGAGGCAACCATCTGTCTTGGGCGCCTCTTATACACTGTTTTCCCGGCAAATCTTGCAGTAGTCGATCGTGAAGTAGGCCATCCACGACACCTTTGACTTTGAATTGAAATAGTAAGCAAGTAGAAGCGAAGGCAAATCCAGTACAAATAGAAGAGACTGTTTATCTTCAAAGTGAGTTCAGTAGTCTTCAAAATCAGGCAAACTGGAAACAAAATCAGGATGAGAAAACGAGAACTGATGGGGGCAAACTTGAATGCGTCCAGCGACTAGCGATATCACCCATTCAATACCATTCAGTAGTAGATCGTGGAGTGGGCCATCCACGACACTCCCGGCCATCCCATCTGTTGCCACGTTCTATTCCCTGCCATTCGGGGAGAGCATCTTCAAGCCGTAAGTGCATCTACTCTTTAGCCTCAGGCTTCAAAGACCTTATTACCAGCGAGGGGCACCACAAAGCATTGGGGTCGTCTAGCCAAATATCAGTTCGCCTAGCGTCTAAGAAAAGACAATATCTATGCTCGATCATGCTTTGCAAAAAAATGCTTTGGGAGTTTCAATGATTTGAACGACGACACAAGCTTTCGAGAACGTAGCGCTGGATGGTCGCTTGCGGAACAGCCAAAAGAAATCATATTTCTCGTTGACAGTACTCTTTCTTTGTCTCCAGAAGATCAACTCACCTGATCATGGCAAGATCTGCGCCCAGACTGCCCAAATCACTGGCTGAGTATGACCTACAATAAACTGGCCGAGCAAAGACTTCCCAAAAGTTGAGTTAAAAACCAGTACTGTTGTGATCACTTTGCCCAACTGGAGTGAGAATATTTGAATTACAGACAAGACTTCTATTGGTGTTGAAAACCAAGTTAAGAATATTCCTATCTCTACTTTGAACAAGAACGTGTTGCGTCAAATTATGGGTACGTATAAATTGCCGTAAAGACGATAATATAGTGCCATTTGCTTTATGCCTACCATCCTGACCAAAACCTGGCACATTGAAATCTCCAACTCCTAAAGAGTGGAGGTCGCATGCGACCAAATCACTAAGGGCTTTCACAAGCTGCTCAGTATAAACCATAACACAAGTAGGGGCCCTGTATGCAACAATGACCCGACGACAAGATAAGTCATGGAAAGTATTGGCACATAGTATTCCGTAGGCATCGTCCACCGATTCCTTGAAGACTAGTGATACGGCAAGCCTAGCATGGACTGATAAAATGACTCCTCTTCCTGCCTTTTTAGTACGGTCACGCCTTAGAATATCATAATAATCACAAAGAGAGCTCAGAATACACGCTATGTTATGGCTGGGTTTGAGCCAGGTTTCCGTAAACGCAACAATGTCGAATTAATTGTTAGTCAGAACTGTTTCAATGTAGCCTGAGTTTTTCGAGATTGACCTGACATTCGAGTAAAATAACTCAAGAAATCCTCTAAAACCGCGGGAAGCCCGTCAGTTTCCCTGGTTAACAACTTTACAATTATTAGGAGGTGGAGCCCCAGTACTCACCCCAGCAGGAGCTACCCCTGCCTAGGATGTCTTCGGCACCCCCCAACACTCCGCCCCAGCTTCCGCCTCCTCACCCTCTCTAAAGCGGTTGCGCACAACTTAGATATAGGGATACTGTCGTAATAACAATACAACCTGCCACGCGTTAACACCAACTACGATACCGTTTATTGGGCGCACCTCAACCTTGGGTAGTTAAACCTTCATAACATTAACTACAACAACGGTAAAAATGATCAATAGGTAATAGGAGCATGATCTTCTACGGCAATGAGAAGGCAGATAACTGAGGCCAATAAATGATACAAGTACGACATTCAAAAAAGAGTGATTCAAAGAAAGAAACTTCAAACAACGCTACACCAGAACTACTACAGTAAAACAACGTGCAACGTAAACAGTACCAGTAAGGGAGATGATGAGATGATGTATGATAAAAAGAGGCGCGATAGATACAAATGAACAAGAATAAGATTCCAGAGTGGTCAGATCGATAGTCAAGACGGGGGATTATTGGGAGAGGGCGCGATGTTATGTGAACCCCTAATCGGTGTGTTGCCGTCCTATATACCCTCGCTTTCCCGCGCTTTGGGCGCGAAACCCATCGATCGCGGCTTGACAGCCGCGATACTCTCCTCTCTAGTGAGCCTTGATATGCTGGCCTTCGGATGGTTGGCCCCCCCCCCAACTACATTTTCACCGAATTCTCGAAGGGAAATCCCTCTCACACAATAGAAGCGGAGTCAAGGAGCTCTCAGCACAGCACTACGTTGAAACATGCGTGATGGGAAAACTACCTTCAACAGCTTACACTTATCTCTAGAAGGCCTTCCCATTCTATACACAGTTATCGGATTACATTCAGTACCAAGGAAATGAATTATATTACAAACACTTTGAAAAACATCACAAAACGCTTCCTGACACTAGTAGCGCTAGACTCAGGCAAACCACATTAAACAATCGAACGTAATCTTTCAACTTCAGAGTACGACATATTCCGATCAGGGTTAGCTGTGCTAACAGGAACATCCCAAATACTTTGACTAGGACAAGAACTCAAATGAACAGTCTCAGTCCCCATATCAATAGCCGGACCACTTTTATCTCGACTCTCTGATTTCCCGCCTAAGGTTAGCATTTTCTGCGCGGAGCAAGTTCAACTCAGTCATGATGGCTAATATGACCCTCTTCACTGGATCCGCAACCCTCCTGGATTTGGTTATTACATCGACTTTCCAACGCAGGTCCATCCAGCTATCCGTCTCGCATTCGTCAGCTCGCATGGGTGAAAACACTGCAGCGTCCATGACCAAATCGCACAACAAAAAGAACACAAAAAGCGTTCAGATATCCGACAAATGCAAGAAAAAACAGTAATCAATGACAGCGCCTGTAGTGGTGGCTTTTCTTCCAGTTTTGTACCTTGCCACAAAAGTACTCGCTGTGTCGACCAATCCAATCGCAAAACTCAATGCAGCACAAAACAAAGAGGAACTAGCGAACGAGTCAAAGATCCGGCAAAACACAGGGAAAATCAATAGACAATAACAGCACCTGTAGTGATCGCGCCTTCTTCCAAATCCGTACCTTGCACCAAAGGTACTCGCTGTGTCACTCCAATCCCAACAATTAGCACGAACAACTAGGCTCGAATAGCGGACGTCTTCCAGTTGAAATGTTAGAAACAGTTACGAATACAGAAACACGACAGTAAGCTCCGCTTATTGGGGGACGTGGCAAAGCGGCGTCACATGCCGACCGCTCGCAAGAAGCAGGGAGCTCGAATGAGAATAAGGGCCCATCAGAAGCGGCGGACCCAACGTACATGCCCAAGGCGGTCGAGTTGCTAGGCGTTGTAGAAGCTGTGGAGGCTGCACCATTTGCACCGACCCACACCTTGCATGCAGGCCAGAGAGCTGCATGCAGTGGCGCGCTACATCTCGTCACCCTTTCCATGCGGCTTTTTTCGTAACGCTCCCGTCCAACCCCTAGTTTGACTTCTTTTTTAAAAGCTTATATTTCTCCGAATCGACCGATTTTCCGTATTCTTCGCCACTTCTGCGCCATGCTGGGCTATCACTTCCAGTAATTGTTTAGAGCTAGATAACCCAAAATTATCGTGAGCTATACCTTCAACTTGAACTCCTTCAGACTAATACTAATTATAATACTAACTAATAATCCTTCTAGCACCTGCTCCAAAATGCTCGACTCAGAGGTATGAATGAATCAAGATGAGCAGGTTGGATCATGGATATTGAATTTTTACTCCCACATACATACTAGAGCGAAGCTGTGAGTGGTTTGTTGCTGAAGATTTTCTATATCTTTCGCAGAAGCAATATCGGCTTTATTTGAATACAACAATGTTTGAGCGTAAAACTGTAGCTGACGGGGTTTTCAGCCATTTTCTTTTTAATACTGAAACAACAAATTGTCTGAAGTCAGTAACAATACAGAGCGTTAAAATTGGATTAATAGCTGGACACCATGCAAAAAGAAATGGGAAATAGTTTGACGCTTCCCCCGTCCGAGCTTCGAATAATGGTCCAAGTATAGAGACGTAGAATGGTAGGTGCAGAAGAAGGAACGGTGAAGCTGCCTGAAATTGTAAACCTCGCTTACGATACGCCAAGAACAATTCAATAACAGGCTCAAGTTAGGCCGAGAAGATCAATTTGCGCCATGCATAGAGTGCAGTATACTGCTGGAACATTGAGAGATTCACGTTACCTTATGTTTTGTTATCCTGAATAATTAGAGTCTTATCGGGAGACGGTCGTCTGACGCGATCCCTCCCATCGCGCCACCCATTCGACGCGGTTTGCGAGCTGGAAGATTCGTCCAAGTGATCGGGCGACCCCCTGCATCTCTAGGTGATAGAAGCCCGATCAATTACGCAGCTATTCACTATTAAATGCCGAATTGTGGACCTGGTTGTATTTCCCTTGTCTACATCGTTTATTTGGCTTTTACATTGAGCGTGGACGAGCTGTTCAGTTTACAAACCGCGTCGAATGGGCGGCGCGTTGGGAGGGATCGCGCTGAACGACGTACACCCAGATCTTATCCTGTTGGTTTGCATACAAGGGTTTCAGTCACAATAGCTCGCATGGGAAAATTGATTTCTACCAAAGAAGACCACCTGACCGTAGTTCTAATGCCAGTGGCTTCGTTAATTGCTATGGAAGCTGGCTCTCACTTAATGAATAGGGTCCCAGTTTTATCCCAGGTGGAAATTGCGTATAGCCTGAGAATTAGGAATCTCACTACCAGGTTTCTTATTACAAGTTTCTATATTTGTTCCTGTTCGGGCCTCTATCATCGCCGCCTATTCCGACTCACTTGAGAGTCATCGGAATTTTTTGAAAAAAATCGATAACTCACTTCTAACTAGGATAACCTTTGGCTTTCAGTACGGACTCAGTTCATGGTTTAGGGAAGGAAAAGTAGCTCAAATGTGAACTTTCATCAACTGCTCCACCGAAATGAGCGTTAGGAAGTCCAACTCTGGGGAGTTTGTGTGTTTCTTACGCTGTTGACTGATTTCAAATTTCATGGAAAGTAATTGTTTTAAACACTGACAGAGAACCGGCACGACTTCGCAGCGATCCTGCAGTGGGGTCCCAATGTCATAAGCTTTCAGAATCTCCAAAAGTGTTGGAGCCGATTTTCTTTAAAAGCTTCGCTGCTTCTTCGTTTATTTGTTTATTTAAACTGCACTATTAGTGCACCCGAACGGACCAGAGGAGTTTTAGTCAAACATAAGTTTATAATAATCAATTGAGATGCCCTTCTTGAATGGACCTCTGGACCCCCCCCCACCAAATAAATAGTCCCTCGTCGACACCTATGCGACCTGATTTTTTGATTAAACTGGAGACTCTATACTACCTCACCTACATAGTTAGCTACTCGGTTATTCTCACCTGAGCGAACAGTGTCTTGCGTAGTTGCATATCAAGATGACGAGTGTGGATTGAAGTATTCTTCTTCACCTTGGCTGTGATTCGTCGGGCACAGAGAATTATCGTGGCCATTGCTACCACCAGTAGCACGATTACAGTAATCGTACCAGCAAGTAGAGTGTCACTTCGGAGCTTTTCAGAAGAAGTATCATCTTTCTGGAATATTTTACAGTTGTAACTCTGTAAATTTCAATGTGAATGGGTCAGGTCACGAATTGATATGTACTGTACTTTTTGTTTGCAACATCTCATCCTATACAGCTCTCTAACGGCGCTCCTGGGGCAAAAGTGAAAACTTCAAAGTTTCTTTCTCATCAAACTTATTGAACCACATCTCACTATTAGTATTATAAAAGTATAGAAAACAAGGCAAGTCAAAGTGGCATAACTGGAAAGTTCTGATGTGAACAGTGGGAAACCTTCATCTCTCAACTTTCATGCTATCTACAACCTATTTACCTCATTGCTCATCATTGCTTTCACATCACAAAAATTTCTTCGAAACTATTTTGAAAAGGGGTCTTTTCTGAGGCCTCCATACCTGTAATGATGCGACCAGGAAAGTGAAGTTCCCTTCTACATTTATATCGTAGGCGATACACGTGAAATATTCTATGTCGGAATCCGTAGGCCATGCAGCGAAGCAGATCATTCCACAAATCGACGACGAGACAAGAAATGGTACAATGATTAAGTAGCGTAATAACTGTTGATGCCGCTCCAAGAAACTTGTCCTGAAGTACAGAAAGATCGAGATTATCAGGTTTCACAGCTTCATATCACACTACAGAAGCACTTTTTTCGAAGATGCTCAGCGTGTGTCGAAGACCGTATTGGTGCTGGTGTTGGTTCATTTGGGTGAAGATGAAGAAAGAAATTCGGAACGCCTCAAAAGAAAAAGCAGGCGGTTATTAGGTTGATGCATAAATATTGCTAATTTTTTTCATCAAGTTTTACTTGAAGGAACAATAGAAATACTTAGCAAAGACATATTCAAATAATTACTCCGAGACATATCCACCATCTGACACTGCTTCCCATTTGCTATGCAGTCGAATTTCACAAGCAAAGAAGTTTCTATTTTTCGAGGCGTCGGCCATCAAAACATCAATATCGTCGAAATTTCTATTCGTTAGCCAATTTTTCAACAAACGGTTTTTCGACATATAATCCATAGAGGTTTCTGCTGGTGGATAGGGCGAACGTAGAAACAGATCCCTTTCTTAGTCGACTTTGGCTGAGTGCTCCATTGCCGAGGAGTTTCTTGAGATCACTTTATAACTGTGCCACACTCCAACCTTTTTCCAAGTAATAGAGCATAATGTGGCTTAAAAGAAAATGACTTTCTAGACATTTTTCTGTTGAGAAAAGCAAGAAGATTATTTCTTTCGAACTCCGAATCCATTATTCAAATTGTATCGAGGAGAAGGAAGCAAAAAATCCGCAACAATTGAGCATCAGCCTACTAGTTGGCGCAGGTTTAGTCTTATAGTACCCATTCAGGCATTCACTTCTCCTTTACGATAAACTGCACTGAGACCATCACCCGAGCTGAGTTATGTGTAGAACAGAACATAAGCCTTTACTCTAATATTCGGACTAGACTAAATGTTGGTGGACTTTGTCAGCAACTCCAAACAAATGGCTCGGCACCGGCCGCTTTACCCTGCACCTCCTTTTTTGTTGCCACTTTCGCCTACTGGAGGATAGAGCGTAAGGAGCTTCGGAGTCCACAAAATTCGTTTGTGGCATGCGCCTTCAATCAGAATCGTAGTCCGTATGCTTAGGGGTCTATACATGCGGCGGTCGGCTGGTGTACATGTCAGCGTTTTCACCTTCTACCGGGTTCATTAGCAATTTAAAAACCCGGAGAAAAGGGAGACTTGTTTGACCTGCGCGGGTCATCCGAGATACAATTCATGAACGGTAAGTGTTAGCATCAATTTTGACAATAAAGTGAAACGACTGACCTACAGATTTGCAGATACCGAAATACAAATAAACATGGAGGTATGACAACGGAATTGCAGAGCAGAAGCACAAAAACAACTATCAATGAACGTCCCCATGTTGTCGGTATTTCGAATCCACCGTTGACAATCAACAACGCCGACTTTTCAGGAGTAGCAGCAAAGGTCTGTAATAACTTTTGTGAAAAATTGTACTCTACCATAACAATTACATTGAACACTTTTTTTGCACTTAAAAAGTAGGTAAAAAATGCAATGGATCTGTGAAAAGGTAGCGCAGTCAAGTTCATTAAGCAGAATTTGCTCTTCGGCAAAGGAGTTTATTTTCCTCGCAAAGTTGACGAGTTATGAGCAATGCTTCGGCCTCGGACGGAACTCAAACCCGTACTCGTGCCATCTGGGCACATTTGTAACACATATGTATTGTAATATTGAATCGCTATTTTCATAGCTACAAATAAGCCACTTGAAATAATTCAAATATTTTCGAGGAATTTTTAGTTATTATAAATTATTGTATTTATTATGGTAACGCACTCACCGGGCTACATATAATATAAACAACACTAAAAATTATGTCGAATACAGCACAAGCAGCCATAGTATGCTTATAAGCACCAAATAATCGAGCTGCTCTTTTTCTCACGACATAGATCAAGAATATGTTTAGCATTATAGATATAAATCCGAAAATAAGAGAGTTAATCGTTGATAAACCAGACTCTGCAACTGACATTCACGCAGCACTGTTCTTCCGAAGCTGGGCGGGAGCCAGATTCTGTAATCGAATATTTATAACGTCTACTGTATAATAGGAGAGCGTGTGATTTTGCAAGGTCTGCACGCATGAGTTACGGCATAGAAATACTGTGAAAAATAATCGACCCTGTTATTTATGGATGGGTAAAACTCACCCAGCATGTATAATTTTTGCTGTGTTTCTTCAACAAAAAAAGCGGTTGCAAATTCAAAAACATCAATAATAATAACGGGATGATATTTGCATAACTCATCCTCATTGGAACGTGGAATTCATCTTATCAGGGGGTTATTATGAGAGGATATACCACCAATGAGAGCTCTGCAGAGTGTGAGGAAACAGGAGTGGGAAGGATCATACAAATTGATTCTGACAGGCTTTTGTACAGTACTTGTTGGTTAGACAGTAGTGCATTTCAACTATCCTCCAACATTTACATCATTACGTTTGCGTTTACATTAGAACATTTACAACGTTTCTAGCGACCAACAGCCACTATTGAAAAATCGCTAAAAATTCCAACAAAGATGTCAAATTTCGAAATCAAAGCAAAAACTCGTCTCTCCATAGCTAGCAGAAAAACTCGCCAAGGGGATCTACCATGTGTAATTTTTTTTAAATTAATTATTTTGCTTTATTTCCATGTCCTTTATACCTTTTTAAAGTCGAATAAGTCGCAGGCACCCGTCTTGAGACAGTTTTCCCATGCTGTTGGGCATATCGGGTGGTGAAGTCTTTCCACTGTTGCCGATCCTGTGCAATGCCTTCTTCTTCGTCCTTGGAAACATTCATGACTTTAAGATCGTTGTCAAATGTTCTTTTCCATGCGGTTTTGAGACGGTTTCTTTCTCGCTTGGCTCCGTTAGGTGTCCAATACATAGCCATTCTTGGGTTACTTTGCTGCGGCATACGCAACGCGTGACCGGCCAATCGAAGTCTACGCCGTGCCACAATCAGGTGGGGGCTATTCATACCAGGGCGGCGCAGTACTTCCTTATTCGTGACGTGATCCATGTATCGCATCTTCATGATCCTTCGCAGACATCTCTTGCACAACGGTGCTGCTGATCCAATCTGGTTACCGCTTCCAAACAAACTCTCGTGGGTAATTCCCAACAGATGCTCGGAGTAGTACCTTTAAAGAGTAATGTTTGTCTATCAGAAGAATTTGAATCAGCCATTCAAGCTATTCAGGCTCCCTTTCCCATACAGCGTACTCGTCCATGAAAGGCAGGTTATTGCTACAAGATTCTCATAGGTTCCATCTTGTCATATATAACTGGATTCGAGGATGATGTATTAAGAATGCCTCCATTCAACCCAAAAAGAACTATCGATCAGATGAGCTCAGAAGAAATCTCACGAAGGATGAAGGATTTTCATTGTGAAATGAAGGTAGAATTTTCCCAGTGGCACGAGGGTAACGGTTCCTTCAAATTGTGCAGATGGAAATGTTTTCCGTGCTTGTGATCTAACTCACACTAGCTTTCATAACTTTGCATTGAGCTTACTGGAAAGGACTTCAAGAGGTCGATTAAACACTCAAAAACACTCTTTTGGAGAGGAATGGCTTGATTTGAATGCTAGAACAGATGCTAATTGACCCCTTGGAACTATTTCGTTAATGCACGTTGATGCTCATGAAAAAGCAGATTTATTATATGTTGGCGAAAATTCTCGCTTCCCACTTAAAGGCACGCTCCACGATAAAAATGGTTTTGGAGATTTACACATGGTATAAATTCGAGGCCCCATCTGATAATATATGTGCCGGAACGAGGTCGAAAAACGTTCCGGATAGGGCACAGTAAGGGGCCGGAAAGTGAAGCACGGTCAGCCTCCGCCCCTCGATAGGCTGACTACAAAATCTAATTGCCTTTCACCACTTTCACATGGAGCAACATTAGTGAAAAATCAATAAGCTGGTCGACCGCCTACTACTGGTGATAATATTCAACTGAATTCGTACTATTCCAATATTATTCCACTCTGTTCTACCTAAATAAATTATTCTCATCTACTTACCTTCGCGTCCAGGCCAACTGAATAAAACGAATTTCAGTAAAATATTAGCTTGAAAATATTTCTAACAATAAGGGCGAAATCACCCGTTGTGTGCAATTGCAGACATTACTTCGCATTCGTCTACTCCCCGAAAATTCCGTTAACCGCCGTTTTTTCACTACGAAACTCGTCCAACCCCCTTTTTTCCTTCTTGTTTGATCGTTTGTATTGCTCTCTATTCGTCGTTTTTTGCGACTTTTCGTTATTATCACTATTGTGGAGTGGGTCTATCGTTTTTCGTGAAAAACGGATACCCTAAAATTATCGTGAACTGTGCCTTTAAGGAATCGCTCGGGCCTTCCGCAGAATTTTCTGATGATGAAGAAAAAAAAAACAATATCGGAAAGGTGGCGCTCTAGCACATAATCAAGGTCCTGGAGCCGATCATAGATGAATAGTTCACCTGGAGCTCCATTCTACAGGGGCTATTTATTGGGCGCCAGAGTTCTATGGGAGGATAGAATCACTGACTTGTCCATGGGCTGGCAACTGCAAGTCATTCAATCGGCTTTTGCCCATTAGAATGGAACCACTTTTACGAATGGATACCGAAAGCGGCGAACCACGTTCCGAAAAGACTTAGATTCCCACTTCACGATAATTTTTTATCATTCAGATTATGACGAAAAATGAAAGAGACGGTAGAGAAGGGTACGATAAAGGCCAGGAGAGCACGAGAACCGGTGTTTCCTGAGATAAGAAGTCGTTAAAAAATGGGCTTGTCTAGAATAAAACAAGAGAAATGTCGTAGATGAGGTGTTCGGACGAGCTATACAAAGCGTATGATTGGGTATAGCTAAATAAGCAGAAATGGCTTTCAGAGTTCATTCATTCAGTACATTCAAAATCACCAGCATAAGTTAACGAAAACGCGACTAAAAGAAATACAAAAAACAAAAACACGACAACAAAAACATAGAAAACAAGAAAACTTCGAGAACAACAGAACAAGGAAAACACTACCCAACCACTGGGCGATCAGCTGATTGCTTGCTGAAGGTGTGGGTCTTATTGGTTAGTGTGAGTAGCGCAACCTGTATCGCCTCGATCCCCCTTCCTCCTCGATCTGAAATACCATCATTCGGTGGGTGTAGAAGTCAACAAATCTGGCAAGCGAGCTCACATTACGCCCTATCTATTGCGTTTTTCGTCCTGACAGCGTCCTTTCTACCACCCTTGGAGGCTACTGAGTTATTCTAGGAGCAAATGTTCTAGGAGTAGAAACGTTCCCATCGTGAAATGTGCCTATGACGCTACAGGCTTTATCCTTCACAATTTATGGGTACTAGTAGGGAGAGTATTTACTGCTTTGTAGTAAATTAAGTAATCAGGCGCTTATATATTGTAAACTATATTTTACTGGACGGCATTGTTAGTTGACACAGAGTTAGGTTGGAGCATAATTCTAGCGACACTCCGTAATCCCAACATGTATTGCCGCTTGTGATATATTGCGAGTATTCGCCATTGGTGTATTGTCCATAGGTCCCAAATGACTCCTTATAGAAGTTGATGAGGAGCTTCTGCTTGATTAAAAAAAGGCTGAAACTGGAAGTTCCGTTGTTTGACCAATAGTTTATTACGAACACCCGACGTATCCTACTGACAAAGCGATGGCCAGAATGCATGCAGCATTTAGGGACTATGGCTTATATCTTTCCACGATATTTCACTATTTGAACATTTCGAATCTAAACGTTGTGAACAAGGGATGACAAGCAAGGGGCTTACAGAAAGTGTGGAGTGCGGCTGGAAGGTTCTGTCATGAGCTGGGCGTCCTTCTAGCCTAATACCGCTCAATTACCATTCATTTCTTACTTTGTAACATTTTTTGAGAGAGCGAAGCTTCGATGAATGCTTTTCCCGGTGAATTCCTGCACTCTAGGCTCGAAATTTGTGGCCGATCTCAAAAGTTAGTACGAACTAAACAAAAACTGCGATTATTGATCGCTTGTACCATGTACTGATCAGGGCTCCGTTTGTTTATCTGTTCGGTTAAATGAGACATGCCTTAATGAGACTTTTGTTAACTTGTGTTATTTCGCCGCCGTTTCCTGCGAATGCCTCCGAAGGATGGCGAGTTATGAGCAGAATACCGGCATCAGACGGGAATCGAATCAGTGCTCGTGTTTTCGGGGCACCGTACTCTTATCCCTTACACTGTTGAGACCTCGATTGCGCTTGCCTTCGTAATGGCTTGTATGTCATTGCTTACAGTCAAATTTATAATGAAGGAGAACACGCATCCAATGCGGCACTGCGATCCTAAATGAAAGTCGGATGTGGTGCGCGTCCCTCGGACAGGATCGATTAACACTCAGAGCGGAAAAGAGAGAGAGAGACTGTGAGCCGGTAAGCCATTACCAGCATTGAAACATCAACTGGTAAGCTGTAATCTTTACTCATTGTAACTTGTTCTCACTTGATGTTCTTATGACAGCTATTATTTCGCCGCAGTACGCGACGCGAAAGTCTAAACGGATGACGAGTTGTGGGCAAACGTCAGCCTCTGAGTGGACCTGATCCCGCCTCGTGCTTGAGTTTCCTGAGTATAGCAAAGTGTTGATGGAAATGAGGTTGAAAGAGACAAAAATAAAGAAAACATTTCCTACAAAATATTATGATTATTCGGTACTGAGTAAACGGTAATGTAACTCAGACAATTTTTGACCCGTGCAGTAGCTAGCGGGTACAGAAGCTGTTTGATGATTTCGAATTTAGGGTCTCAGGCGCTTTCACCATCTTATAAAGCAACATGTTTAATGATTAATCACAGAATGGCCTTCCACGTTCAAAAACTGACTGGCATTAGCTGAACGTGATAAAGTAGTTGGGAGATATGGAAAACT